TTCTGGGTCAGGGGGGTGGCAGTCAGAGATGCCACCCAAGTCTCATAGCACCAGCCCCTCACTGACCCTCTGCAGGTGGTGAGTCCACAGGAGGACAGCTGCTCTCTGAGTGTGAGCATAGCCTTGATCTTTCAGTGGGGGCTTTGGGCAAAGTGGGGTTAAGTGTCTTGCCCAAGGACACAACGACAGCAGTCATCAGTGGGAGTCGGTGGAGAAGGTGCAGAGGTGGGAATTGAACCCACAACCTTCTGGCCATAAGGCCAATGCTCTACCAACTGAGCTACTGTCGCCCCATCACTGTCGCCCCATCATGTATCACTGTGATATCCTAATATAATTTGGAGCAAAAGAGGAACTGTCTAGCTATTTGATTCTTGCATTACACTACAGATAACTGAACAGCACGTTGTTTAATCATGAACTCAGTTATTATTATTTGATTGGTAATTTCTTACATACTGCGTGAGTGTTACATGTTTACATCTGTACATTAGCAGCAGTATGTTTACATCTGTACATTAGCAGCAGTATATTTACATCTGTACATTAGCAGCAGTAGGTTTACATCTGTACATTAGCAGCTGTATGTTTACATCTGTACATTAGCAGCAATATATTTACATCTGTACATTAGCAGCAGTATGTTTACATCTGTACATTAGCAGCAATATATTTACATCTGTACATTAGCAGCAATATATTTACATCTGTACATTAGCAGCAATATATTTACATCTGTATGTTTACATCTGTACATTAGCAGCAATATATTTACATCTGTACATTAGCAGCAGTATGTTTACATCTGTACATTAGCAGCAATATATTTACATCTGTACATGTTAGCAGCAGTATGTTTACATCTGTACATGTTAGCAGCAGTATGTTTACATCTGTACATTAGCAGCAGTATGTTTACATCTGTACAGTACATTAGCAGCAGTATGTTTACAACTGTACATTAGCAGCTGTATGTTTACAACTGTACATTAGCAGCAGTATGTTTACATCTGTACAGTACATTAGCAGCAGTATGTTTACAACTGTACATTAGCAGCTGTATGTTTACAACTGTACATTAGCAGCTGTATGTTTACAACTGTACATTAGCAGCTGTATGTTTACATCTGTACATTAGCAGCAGTATGTTTACAACTGTACATGTTAGCAGCAATATATTTACATCTGTACATTAGCAGCAGTATGTTTACATCTGTACAGTACATTAGCAGCAGTATGTTTACAACTGTACATTAGCAGTTGTATGTTTACATCTGTACATTAGCGGCAGTATGTTTACATCTGTACATTAGCAGTTGTATGTTTACATCTGTACATTAGCGGCAGTATGTTTACATCTGTACATTAGCAGTTGTATGTTTACATCTGTACATTAGCAGTTGTATGTTTACATCTGTACATTAGCAGTTGTATGTTTACATCTGTACATTAGCGGCCGTATAAGATAAGGATATTGCAACAATGCATGACACATGGAAACAGGTTGGAATCAGGTCGGCAGTGTTCATTAGTCCTTATTGTTTGTTGTACAGTCTGACAGCAGCAGGAAGGAAAGACCTGTGGAACCTCTCCTTCACACATGGAGGATGAATTAGTCTGTCACTGAAGCTGCTCTCCAGAGCAGAGAGAGTGTCCTGCAGGGGGCGACAGTCATGCTCCAGCGTGGATGTTTACTTACTGTACGTTCTTGTCCTGGGAGCACTTACAAACTTTAAAAATAGTTTGTGTATGACTTGAAGTTTTGTTAATAAAGACATGGACGAGGACTGCCCTTAATATAAAAGAAGAAAGAATCTGTGTTATGGCTTCAGAACGGATTTAATCATTTCAAATAAGCTGCATAATATTATGAACAAATATTAAGTGCTGTCATTCAAAACCAAAAACTCAAAACATCAGAATCGCAGAATACAGAAATCACAGAAAGAAATCATTGTTTACAAAAGTCTGAACTCACAAAAACTACATCCCCCAAGTTCAAGTCGGACAGGTCACTTTAGCTTATCTCTGCAAACAGGGCCACATGTGACATCACCACTGCTTCAATAATCTACATCTCATTCTCCAGTCCCCGGAGAAGGAGACGCAGAGACACGGGTTTGGTTCCCAGAGATTTGGTTCACTTTAAAAAGACTAAACCTGCTGTTTTTGTTCAGCTAAATCACAAACATCAGTTCATTGTTGAAAATACAAAAAACAATATTGACTCAACATATTTCAAATAAAAGGAAAATAAGTTATTGTACGGAAACCAGATCAGGTCAGAGGGCAGTGGAGGGGAAAGAGGAGAGAGGAGGTCGGTCTCTGGTCTCTCTGGTGTCACTCTCTCTGGTCTCTTGGGTCTCTCTCTCTGGTCCTCCTCTCCAGTCTCTCTCTCTGGTCTCTCGGGTCTCGGTCTCTTGGGTCTCGGTCTCTTGGGTCTCGGTCTCTCGGGTCTCGGTCTCTTGGGTCTCTCTCTCTCTGGTCCTCCTCTCCAGTCTCTCTCTCTGGTCTCTCGGGTCTCGGTCTCTCGGGTCTCGGTCTCTCGGGTCTCGGTCTCTTGGGTCTCTCTCTCTCTGGTCCTCCTCTCCAGTCTCTCTCTTCTTATCAAGTTTAAAGCATCTCACACTTACTACAAAACTATAGTATGAACTCATGGTGGAGGACAATTGATTTTGGTCAGTATCGCAATATTTTTTTGTACACAATTAAATGGATACAGTAGAAAAAAATACTACAATAATTAATTAAATAATAATCTGACGCACAGAGAGCTCTTTCTTTTGCTGGAGACTGGACCCTGACCCTTCCGTCTCTGTCTTTAGGCCTCATTCACAGCTTTGTGGGTCAGAACTTTGCCACAGTCTGATCCAGTTTGAAGCTTACATTACACAAGGCCGCCCTCTGCTGGCGGCACACATTACACACACACACACACACACAACCTAAAAGCTAAGCATCATAAACAATAACTTAACAGTCTGGTGACATGCAGCAGATCTGAGCACTAATCCTCCCCCGACTTTTACTTTAGATTCACATATTTACAAGAGAGATGTTGCCGCGACGACATCACAGAACCATGGCTTTCACGTGGACCAGGAGCGTCTGCCGGGGGCCACTTCAGTCCAGACTTGTCCAGGGGCCCACAACCCCAGAACCAGTCCAGTTGTATGGAGACCGGTCTAACTGAAGTCTATCTACAGCTACATAAGCGCCATGAGTATCAAAATGTTGTAATGCATCAGAAACAGTGGATACATTAAAAAAATATCAATGATTGGATTCTAGAGTTTCTGAGATTTACAACAATACATAAAAGGCCTATGATGGTGGAGCTGCAGTTGGCTGGATGACACTGTGAACTTGTGTTATTGATCTCAAAGACTATATTGTGTTACTGAGAGAGGGCCACGAAACACAAGACAAGCGGACCTAAGTAGAACCTTGGTTCCGTATGCTAGCAAACTACTACTGGGTAACCATGGCTACCAGCAGCACTCTGACCAATCACTGTCAGTTAGAACACTTAAGCACCAGCTCGGCCTGGATAGAACCAGGACCAAGAGAGACTAAAGAAGGACCTGGTTACACAGAACCAGAGGAAACACTCCCAATCAGGGTAGGGTAGGGTAGGGTAGGGCTAAAATCTCGATAATCAATAACACATGTATTTCTAAAGTACTTTACTTTTCCATGAAACCTCAAAGTGCTGCTGACCGATGAACACAGGTCTGACCACACTGCGGCCCGAGGGCCACATGCGGCCGTCTGCCTCAGGTTCTGCGGCCGCGGACACAAAGAAGTCCACAGTGTCGTCCATTTGTAGAAAATGACATTGGTTTTTCCAGCTGTGAATCCAGTTTAAACTCAAAGACCAAACCCAGTCAGAGGCTGTGGCCCCTGGAGTCTGTGGCCCCTGGAGTCTGTGGCCCCTGGAGTCTGATCTGAAGCGGCCCCGTCACCAAACTCTAAGTTCACATCTAACATTTCTCCTTCGTCTCTTTTGCATAAATGTTTAAATAACTGCATTACATTTGTTTTCTGAGAAGAAACGTTCAGTCTAAAATCTCCAAACGTGAGACATTTCTAACTATGAGCTAAAAAAACAAGAAAATGTCACTTTTAAATATGAAATCATTAGACTGAACCTTCACACGGGAAAATGTAAACTGCACAATTAAAAATAGAAAAACACAATGAAAACATTTGCACCAAAGTGATGCACAGTTCTCTGAGGTCAGAAAAGATCACGGTCGAGTTCACGATGAAAAAGATTAGGACCAAGATCAGAGAAATGAACTGAGATCCTTCAGGACGATTTAAAGAGACAGTGTGCGATTTTCTCCTAGTGGTGAAATTAAGTCATTACAGCGACTATTACACAGTTGTTGCCTGTGACTCATGTCGCTCCTAAACACTGATGCAATCCACCTGCTGGGGTTTACCTGATACGTATTCTCTATAACTGTCTGTCATGTCACTGTGATAGAAAACACATAAAGATGTAGATTATTCTAAATGAAAAATGACACACTGTCCCTTTAAGACACTTTCTCAGGGAATCAGCTTCGACCACGTTTATCAAATCCAGATGATCGTGATCAGAGTGTAGCAGGTCGAGCTGCTCCCAGTGTGTGCTCACCTGAACATGTGAGTTAGCTCACATAGTTAGCTCACATAGTTACCTCACATAGTTAGCTCACATAGTTAGCTCACATAGTTAGCTCACATAGATAGCTCACATAGATAGCTCACATAGTTAGCTCACATAGTTAGCTCACATAGTTAGCTCACATAGTTAGCTCACATAGTTAGCTCACATAGTTAGCTCACATAGTTAGCTCACATAGATAGCTCACATAGATAGCTCACATAGTTAGCTTACATAAAGAACATGCTGAACAGAACAGCAGCGTCCAGTCTCAGCCTCGGTCTCAGCCTCAGCCTCAGCCTCAGCTCGGCCTCAGTCTCAGCCTCAGCTCGGCCTCAGCTCGGCCTCAGCTCGGCCTCAACAGGTCGCCCAGGTCGTAGGAGTCGAAGAAGTCGGACACGCCCTCGTGCTCCTCCAGGCTCCACAGGTAGTCGTCGTCGTGGTCCAGGGGGGGAGAGAAGCTGACGAAGGGGCCCACGGAGGCTCCAGGGCAGGCCAGTTGGTCCTCGGTCATCTGCAGGAGTCTGGGGGGCAGACCCAGCAGCCCCTCCACGTCCAGCAGAGAGGGGGAGGGGGCCACAGCAGGGGGGGCACGCGCTGTGGGGGACACAGACGTCAGTGTGAGGCTGTGTTTTACATCAGTCACAGTAAGATCAGTTCAGACAATGTTTGTTTAAGACCCACACCCTTCATTCAATTAAATTGAATTAAATGTAGACAAGGTTCTAGAAGTGTCTGCTGCGGCAACATGGATCTGTGAGCTCCACGAGTGGCTGCGAGATTCTGCAGGAGACCGTGGGCGCTACGAACGGAGGGGCGCCTGTGGTAAAGGTGGGAGTCATTCACATTTTCAATCCATTTTCTTCTGCTTTATCCTTTGCCGGGTCACAGGGGCAGCAGTCTGAGCAGAGACGCCCAGACTTCCCTCTCCACACACACTTCCTCCAGCTCCAGAGGGACTGTGTCTCTCCCAGGCCAGAGAGACACAGTCCCTCTGTGTCCTGGGTCTTCCCCTGGTCTCCTCCCAGAACACCTCCAGGAGGCATCCCAAACAGATGCCTGACCCACCTCCACTGGCTCCACTTGACGTGGAGAAGCAGCTCCTCCCATTTGACTGAGCTCCTCACTATCTCTAAGGGAGCACCCACCTACTCTGCATTAACAATTTATTAAAAACAAAAAAAATGATAATAAAATTTCTTTTAATTACACTTGTCCCCGACCAAAATGAGTTTGAGCTCCTGAACTCTGATGATGAAAGGGTGATGTGTTCTCTATGTGCGTGCAGAGGTGTTGTACTTACACTGTGTGGGCTCTGCTCGGCTGCAGTAGTCGTGTGTGGAGGTTGCCAGGTGTGCGGGGGGCCCCAGAGGAGACGGGAACTCTGTCTTTGGGGTCAGGCCTGGCTTCACAGGACTGGCGTCCTCCAGACCCTCCTCTGGACACAGGTAGACCTCGATGGGCCCTGTGCTGCTCTTTAGGTACATCTGTAAAGTGCTCTGCAAGAGAGAAGGGCCAGAGTCTGAGCTGCCATGGAAACAGAGTGTGTGTGGTTGTAGCGTGTGGTTATATAGCCTTACCCCTTGTGCATCAGGAACCTCCAGCTTGGTTCCTGCAGGAGCTTTGACTGCGATGACGGTCTGGTCCCGGAGGCTGGAGATGGAGCGCAGGTCCTGGTATGTCACATAGGCCAGCGTGTGGAGGGTTAAGGACGCACAACACACACAATAACAAAAAGTCTGAGCTGTGAGTTTTTTCTTGTTTTAATCATTTGTCTTATTTTCTGACCACCTTTCTTGTTCAGATAAAATAAGTTTGTAATGCTGTGTTTAAAAAAACATTTCTCAAAAATGTTTCATAAATAAGTAAATAATAATTGAAATGTATGTTTTTATCCTAGAATCAAGTCAGAAATCTTGAAAACCATATGTTCTTGTTCTATTCAGATAGTTTTCTTTATTTTAATCAGTATTTTACTCATGTTCATATATTTTTTCAAAGGATATCTCTGTCCGCTCTGGTCGTCCGTCAGCTGTTTGAGTTGTGTGGTACTGGAGGTGATGAGTTCCTCCAGGGCTCGTTCTGCTCTCTCCAGCTCACTCAGCTCCTTCCTCAGGGTCCGGGCCCTCTCCCCACCGCTGGAGCTGCCCTCAAACACGTCCCCAATGCTGGAATCACACACACGGAAAATCAAGCTCCCACAACACACCTGGGCAAAGTGCGGCCCGGTTCACGTTTCTATGTGGCCCGCGGACCTTTTTCCATCCACAAACTTCATGTAGTCTCCCCCTAATATGTCCCTCCCCTATGTTATACCTTATTTTAATTCATCCAAAACATTCCTCTGTCCACAATATGTCCTTCTATAGCTTTATGCCGCTTTCAGACCGGATCATGCTGCGTCGGCTTTCAATGCAAAGTCAATGGTGATGCGCGTTCGAGCGTCAAAACGCACAAGCGCCTCGGAACGCACGCACGGACTGCGCGGCAAAGTCAAAGGGGAGGAGCAGGAGCGGAATGTCGACGCATGCGGGAGATAAATATTGCTGAACGTTTCCTCGGACGTTCGTGCAGCGACCAATCAGAGAGCCGCAAAATGGTCACGGGGACATTAGCGGACTGAGCGAGCAGACTGAACATACTGTAAACAGCCAGTACAGGAGCTACACCAGGACTAAACCAGGACCAAACCAGGACTACACCAGGGTTGACAATAGGGGACAGAGTGTTTGTGAATATATGCGTTTTCATGCTCCCGTGACTTTATGCAACTGCTTCGTGTGTGTTCGCCGATGCGTAAGTACCGTTTAATAATACAATAAACTTATGGTGCACCTCCATGAACACGTACTACTGTTATATAAAGTCACTGGAAGGTCTCTGAACACAGACACACTGCAGAGCTGCATTATCCGAGATGAACTATACACAAAAAGCCGCTAGCTTTATCTGTTAGCATCACAGTCCACCTGCTACTTCCGCCACTGGCCAGGACTTTCTGGTGTGAAGTCCCGTGCGTCTGAAAACTAGAGAATGTGCGTCCGATGAGCGAGGCTTCAGCGTTGGCGGTCTGAACACAGCTCTAGACCAGCTTTGGTTCGATCCAAGCGAGAGTTTTAATCTACAACTATAAAATTATATAAATGAATATTAAAAAACCTCCTCATAGTACTTCCCATATTTTTTCAAAGGTTAAAACTAAAATATAGCTGCAGATGCTAAAGTCGAGCTAACACACTTTACACGACGAGAACTTCGGACTTCTTCAGGTTTCTCTCTCCTTCTATATGGTTAATATTTGTGTTTTTCAAATACATACATTTTTTTGTGCATTTTTACAGAATTAGCTTGTTGGTCCAAATTCTGGCCCTGACTGAAAACAATATCCCCCCCGCTCTAAAACTTTCTACACAATTACATCCAGTCTGATTATGGACTGATTGTTTCGCCTGTCAGACTGTACAATGAGAACTGCTGAGTCTGTTCATGTCCTCGTGTGATGGGACACAAGTTGGGGGCTTTTTATATTTGATGCATGCAGTGTTTTTATACTGTTATGTATTTGAAATAGCATGTTATTTATGACTTTTATTGTTTGCTGTGATTTTAACTGCATGATTTTAGACTGTTTTAACTGGTTGCCCTCCCAAATGTTCGTCACCCCTCATCAGCACAAACATGGACACCTGCGGGTGCAATCAGACTGGCCAATATAAAGCACCTGGGGAGCACAGCACAAGAGAGCACGGAGAGCGAGAGACAGGAGGGAAGGGAAACCCTGCCTGGCCTGTACGTTTATAGACGACCCTGACTGTTTTTATTGCTCCTTTTGCCCGTGGCCTGCCGGTGTATGCTTTGTGTCCAGGAACAGCCACATCAGAGAGGCCTCCCCAAACGTGACGCGACGTGCCTCGACGGGGATTTCCCTTTTTTATTTTTATTGTTGCATATTTTTACAATCTGGATTTTAACCTCGTTTTAATTTATTGTAATAAATTATTTTATTTTTTACAGTTTTCTCTGCCCTTTTTTGGTCACACCACTGCTCTGCCATAGCTGTTTTAATTTGGTCCATCACTCCATCATTCCCTCTTGCCTCCAATAACCACAAAACCCCCATTACACTCGCATGTGCAATAGCAAAGACTGCAAACATGTGCATTAGATACATAGATGGATAAATATTTACTTGCTGCTCTTATGAAGCAGAGACACAGAGAGGCAGAGAGACAGACGGAGACAGAGAGAGACAGAGACAGAGATGCTGCGAGGTAGAGAGGCTGAGAGACAGAGACACAGAGACAGAGACACAGAGACAGAGACACAGAGACAGAGAGAGACAGAGACACAGAGACACAGAGACAGAGACAGAGACACAGAGGTCTTTGTTCATTCAGACTCTAGGGCTGCTTCACGTGAGGTTTCCACTCGTCGCACTCACAGCCACTGGATGTTGTTCTTGGACTTCTTGCGAATGAGCTGCACTCCCTCCAGGACGTTGGTGATGTCATAGATGCGTCTCTTCTGGACCTCCAGGACCTCCGTGGCCCAGTTCAGGTCCAGAACTCCGTCTGGACTCTCCGCGATCAGATTCACAAACTTCTTGGTGAGGAGGCCGAGGGAGGTGTCGTAGCGTGTCCTCTCCCCTGGAGACTTTGGAGCTGCAGGCGGAGAGCAAATACATGTGAGGGGGAGGCGGGGGGGAGGGGGAGGCGGGGGGGGGGGGGGGGACGGGGGGGGAGGATTGGTCGGACACTAGAACCTCCAGAGATTTTTTTTTTTGGAAAAAAGTTGAATATACTTTTTTGGACACTTCACATGTCATTATTCATTCACTCCACAGTGTTGACAAACTACTACTGTAGCCACAGCTGCCCTGGGTAGAAGCAGGGCGACCAGTCTGTGCCATTGGCCCCTCCCACCACCACCAACCATTCATAAACACACCAGACTCATTCTAATGTGGGTGAAGTGTCTTGGGCGACAGTAGCTCAGTTGGTAGAGCATTGGCCTTAAGGCCAGAAGGTCATGGGTTCAATTCCCACCTCTGCACTTTCTCCATCGACTCCCACTGATGACTGCTGTCGTTGTGTCCTTGGGCAAGACACTTAACCCCACTTTGCCCAAAGCCCCCACTGAAAGATCAAGGCTATGCTCACACTCAGAGAGCAGCCGTCCTCCTGTGGACTCACCACCTGCAGAGGGTCAGTGAGGGGCTGGTGCTATGAGACTTGGGTGGCATCTCTGACTGCCACCCCCCTGACCCAGAAATGGATTAAAGGATTAAATGGATGGATGGGTGTCTTGCCTAAGGACACAACCACAGTTTGGCACTTTACAGCCATCCCACTGTGGCTCCTGTTGTTCTCAGAGGTCTCCCATCACAGCACTAACCAGGCCCTGCCCTGCTGTAACGACTGAATGTGAGGAGTTCTACCTTTAACTAAACAATATGAAGATTTTGTGGATGTCCCAATATTCATGGACTGCTTATTGTGGATCGGCATCACTTTATTACTGTGTTAGTGACTTTTAGAATGATGTATTTACGCTATAGGGCTGTCAAACGATTAATTCTTTTTAGTTGATTAATCGCATAGTAATGGTGAGTTAACTCACGATTAATCGCATTTTTAACATTCTATTTCAAATCCACTCCAATTGAAGTTAAATGAGATTTTCAAATGTAATGACATTGTTATTCATACCAAATGTACTTAAATCTGATTGACTTGCTCACAACCTTCTACTTTTGGGTACAACCAACAAGAGCTGTTAATGAAAGGGAAAATGTAGGTACCCCAGCTTTAATTTTGCGACCGCTGTCACCATCACACACACGCACGTGTCCGCGGCATTGTGAGTGATATTATTATAAATGGGCGGGTCATTCGGACATGCATTAACTCATTGACTGCCAGCCTATTTCAGAACAGGTACTCCCATATTGCCAGCCGTTTCTGATGATTTTTACTGAATTTTCAAGACCCACAGAATATCTGAAAGAATGGACTGTTTACATTCATCAGCAAAAATAATTTTGTTTCTAGCTTGTTTCGTTCCCCTGTAATCCCCAGTCGAGTAGAGGTACGTTTTATTGAAATCACCAGAAAGTGCATCTAGCTGTTTTCAAACCATTCATAGAGCAATGCTGCCATCTGCTGGCTCGATAAAATATTGCCTCAAGCCTTAGATGTTTGATACAATAAACACCTGGTAACGTGAAAATAGCGGGAAACGCAATTGACGTGTTAACACGTCAATGGCAGTTAATTATTTTTTTTTCGCGTTAATGAAAACGTGAATTAACGCGATAATTTTGACAGCCCTAATTTACGCACAAGGCAGCACTTATCCACTACTTCTTTTGGTTTTCAAATGCGAATGCTGATTGGACGGTCTCCATTCCTCCATGATGTATGGAGTAATGGAGAGTCACCAGTAATGGAGGTTGCTCGACAACCATCACCACTAAAACATGTTTTCTGTCTGAATTAAAGACACGTCCCCAGACTCTTCTTCATGTGTTTCTGCTGCTGGACGTGGACGTGGTCTTTGTGCACTCACTGTGGGGGCTGGGGATCCGGGTGACGATGCCTTTGCCTTTGGGAGTACGGAACTCGGGCAGGTAGGCCGGGTCCTCCAGGTCCAGCTTCCTCTTGGCCTGAAGGAATCACAATAATAATAATAAATAATAATAGTAATAATAATACCAATGATGATGATGTATCGGTTTCATAGAGCGCTTTTTTGGACACTCCAAGACCCGTCACGTGTCATTATTCATTCAACTGTAGCCATAGCTGCCCCGGGGCACACTGACAAAAGCAAGGCATACTCATGGAAATCTGCTCCTCCCACCATCACCAACTCTTCACACACACTAGACTCATTCTGGGCTGTCATCTCCAATATCCCTTTCCTCTCTCCTCTCTAAACTCTCTCATTTCTCCTCCCACCTATCTCCACTCTCCCCTCTACTCACCCCTCTCTAAATGTTCGCTTCTGTCTCCTCCCCCCTCTCACCCCTCTCTAAACTCTGTCAGACACAAAGCCCCTCATTTCCCTGGCTATAGTTTAGCACTTGCATGACAATGAAGTCGAACGCCTCTAACTCTGAGGGGGAGCAGAGCCACACATTTGCCCCTGGTCTGGGGGCTCTCTGTGCCCTTTGCCTGAGGCCGATCTCCTGGCTCCATGTTTTATCGTTGGTTCACAGTGTCACCAAAGAAAAGAGAGGAGTTGCCAAGTCTGTGTTTAAACCCGATTCATTGTGTCTTGTAACTTGTATTCAGAGCTAAAATAATGATTAAGAGTAAGTTTATTATGCTACTGAATTAAAGCACAGAAGAAATGGGTGGGATTACATCAGTGTTTACTTCCCCACTACTCTTCAGACGGACGAGAACACAGTAAATGTTGGTTGTTTGTTTTATGTTCTTCATTTTTCTTTTATTAAGTTGCCCTTATTTTTTTTTCCATCACCATCACCATCAATAAATAAATAAATAGATAACTGAATTAATGAATAAATGAACCAAGACAAAACTCAAAGGAGAGACAGTAGCTCAGTTGGTAGAGCACTGGTCTTTGGGCCTAAAGGTCGTGGGTTCGAGCCCACCACGACCCATGTCTGCTGTGGTTGTGTCCCTGGGTAAGACACTTAACCCCACATTGCCTGAGGCGCCCCACTGAAAGACCAAGGCCATCTAGTCGATCATCCTGTGGACCCACCACCTGCAGGAGGATCAGAGGGACTGGTGCTATGAGACTTGGGCAGCTCTGATTGCCACTCTGATTGCCGCTCTGATGGATTAATAAAGGGGTAGACCATGACATGACAAATAGACCAGTGACCTCAGTATCTGCCACAGACACAGTAGATATGTTTATTTCAACATTTAGTAAGTAATCTCAGTCACAGTAAGTAATCTTTATTTATATACCACCTTTCACAGACCAGAGTCACAAAGCGGTTTACAATTATTATTATTATTATTATTATATCTTATTTTTGGGGGGCCTTTGTCTTCTCACTCCACACAGAGATCAGAGCGGGGTCGCCAGAAACTGGAGGAAACCTACGCACACACAGGGAGAACATGCAAACTCCACTCAGAAAGGCCCTGTTAGACCAAAACATGAAGTAGTAAAGTCTTGGCTCCTGCAGACGTTTGTAACGACCGGCTCAGTCTGATTTATCACAGGGCTCCAGATGACAGAGCCACATGCTGCCTCCTCAGCTGCTGGACCAGTGCAGCCTGAGTGCCGTGGTCAGCATGTGTGAGGGGCCAGACACCAGTGAGAAGAGCCCCTTGTGGACCCCCCCACCTGTCCCTGATGGTCCCCCGTCACCTGTCCCAGCCGTGACATCTGCACACAGGGTCTGACACGGATACTTTACTGCAGTATTTGTTACCGAGGCCCAAAAACACAATCAGTGAAGAGTTTTCTACAACTCTTTTAGCCAAAACAAATCCACAGACTGTGACGTCATGGACAAAACTGTTTTTTTGTCATTTAGACCAAAGTCGAGAAATGAGAAAGAAGCAGCAGCGATCTCACTTGTAAGCCTCGGTTTTGTTTTCCAGTTCTTCCAGATAGAACAAAAGAAGAGATCTTTCATTGGTTCCACAGTGAGGAAATGTCAGTGTTGCATCCACAGTCACAGAGCAGTAGGAACGAGGAGCAAGTGAAGTGAACAATAATTAAAATATAATCTCTAACTTTACCATAAAAAGAAGCAAGTATAAACTCTTTAGCTTTATTAAAATGAAGAGGCAAGAACTAAGTACTGTATATAATCTCAGACTTTAACCTAATAAGACGCCAGTGTAAACAACGGTATATTCTAGGGATGCATACAGTAGATTGTGAAAGTTGGGACAGATTGACGTTTAACTAAACAATTTGTTGTTTCTTTTTATAAATATATTTCTTGGCGTTTTTCTTCAGCTTCATGCAATCGCTGTACACCGCCTCATGCTTCTCAAATTTCCAATGACACTTTTTCTGATACTGTAAAAAATTGCCCTCTACTGGTGTCTCCTTGCACGTGCCTATCATCGCAAATGTCATTTGTACTTGCAGTATTTTAGTATTGTGATAACAATATTATTGATATTTTTGTCTTTCGCCTAAAATTGCAATCTGCATTGAAATGCAGATAGTATATATGAATGTATACATCTGTACATGTTAGCAGCATGAGGGTATGAGAAAAGACATCACTTTTGATATTTATGACGCTGATGCTTAAGATATGGATACTAGTTTGCAATGTGGGTGAGATAATAATGTTTAGTAGCAATACAGATTTCACATAGGTATCAATGTTCTTAAACTCTCTGAATCCGATGTTTGTCCTCAGTCCAGAACATGCAGGTCCTATTCCACAGATGAAGTAAGTGTCTTCAGTCAAAGTGGTTTTTGCCGTACAGAACATCCCGAAGACAAATATAAAAAAGCTCAGCGCTCCGTTGGAGCTCAAACTAAAACACAGAGGTGAGAGCGTGTATTTGGCCCAGTGCTGAGCAAACATGGCTTCCTCGGGACCGTTGGGGCCTGCAGCTGTTGGTTTTGGGTGAGAGTTCCGGTTTTGCGTTTGGATTTGTCTGGTGAGTCAGGCATTCCACAAACGCTGACTCTCACTGTAACCGCTGCTTGTTCTACTGCACAGTTTGGACAATCACGCCCCGGGGCTCATCAGAGGCTTTCTCACACACATCTGAGGCCAGGCTCCGCACTGTCACTACAGCCACTCTGTCAGCACAGTATGGACTCAACTCAGACCTCAGACCTGTCTCATACCGGTCTGTAAGTGCATCCAGTAAGAACACTTTGAGTAATTATTAGGGGTGGGAAAAATATATCGCAGACAATAATATCGTGAAAGTCAATTTGAAGATATGCTTTTAATGTCTAATAATAATAATAATAATAATAATAATAAGGGCATTGGTTTTATACAGCGCTTTTTTGGACGCTCAAAGACGTTTCACATTCATGTCATTATTCATTCACTCCAAACAAAGAGGTGATAAACTACAACTGTAGCCACAGCTGCCCTGGGGCACACTGACAGAAGCGAGGCAACCAGTCCCACCATCAACCTTTCACACACACACCAGACCGATTCTAATGTGGGTGAAGTGTCTTGCCTAAGAAGACAACCAGAGTTTGGCACTTTACAGCCGCAGCCGCCCCACTGTGTCACCTGGTGTTCTCAGAGGTCTCCCATCACAGTACAAACCAGGCCCTGATCTACTTAACTTCAGAGGTCTGACAGGATCTGGCTTTCACATGGAGGTATGGCCATTCTCTATCTATCAGCTCTACTTGGTTCTAAACACAACAAACCAGCATCCGGGAAAATTCCTTGGTAACCCTAGCTTCCAGCAGCACTCTGACCAATCACTGTCAGTTAGAACAGTTTAAAACCAGTTCAGCCTGAATAGAAGCAGGGCCAAGAGGGTTAAAAAAGTAGCTAGTACTGATTAAACAGGGTCAGTGGGCCGAGTAGGGTAGGGCTGGTGGAAACAGGGCTAGAGTCAGGCATCCTCTTGTTTATTTTGCGTATTTTCTCACAGGTTCAACTGCTGCAGCTCAGGGAGGTCTCTGCTGGACACTGTACATCCAAGACTGGAGCTTTAGTCCTGACACGGACCAGGAAGTACCATCACATCAGTCCTGGTTTCAGGTCTCTGCTTCCCGTGGCTCAGAGAAGAGACTTTAAATCAGCTTTGTTTAATTGTTACAAGTTTCTCCATGGCCTTAAAGTACATCTGTGACATGTTAGAGACATGTGCACCAACTCTGATGAGCACAGGGACTGGCCTCTTGCTGTGGACTCTGAGGAGCACAGGGACTGGCCTTCTGCTGGTCCCAGAGTCAGGACTAAACATGAGGAGGCAGTGTTGCAGCTAACAGTCTTCCTGAAAAGACAGGCTTCTTCTCTGACAATTTTCAAATGTATTTCTATTTAGGGTTTTAATGCCTCATGTGACTTTTGTGTTTCTTTCTTGTTTTTTTTTCAGTACTTTGACTTTCCTTGCCAAGTCCATTATACATGTGTGGTTACATGTTCGATCCCAGTATCTGTCCTATTGTAAACAAACGGAGGAAATATCTAACAGTAGATTCTTGTGTCGTGTGGTGTCACTATCAGGCTCCCGTAGAACAGACCCCAGAGATCTGTGACTGCAGCCTTTATCTGCAGAGTCTCACCCAGTCTCACCCAGAGGCCTTCTGGGTCACACCCACAGCACAGTCATCATAGAGAAGCCATGTCCCAGAGGTGTCCAGACCCAGGACCTGAGTCCAGAGGCTGCGGCCGGTTCCTGAAGCCGGTTATGGATTCATATTTGTGCATATTTTCTATTGACACATTTCTCAGCTGATCTTATGCTGCTGTCAGTATGAGCTCATTTAAGTCAGGACTGAAATATTTCAAGTACAATTACTCGGGGAAGGCTAAACTCCTCAGAGTGTCAGTCAAGCTGCATAGGGAGTCAGTTTGCTGGGAGAGGTATGGTAACTTGAGAACTATCCTCTCCTCCTTCCTACTTTATCTACTTTATCTGTTTAGCACTTTTAGGATTCTGACTGTAGTTTGTTCATTGCTATTCACCCGTTGTCCCATTGTCTGTTTCATGGTACGATGAC